TTTTTCTGACTCAGGGGTAAATACACAATATTATTAATACATTGCAGGCACTTATATAACCTTTTGGCTTCTCTTCATCAACCTGTTAAAAGTAGTGAATGCTACAGACAAGTTTTTCCTAAAGGTGACCCATTCTTGCATTCTTAGGAGAAATCCTACTAGATTATTATTATTTCAATTCAATTATTTTTTATTCATGAAATCAAAAGCTATGTTCAAAACAAAGGTAGTTTTCTTATGCTGTTTTTATCAAATATCATAACCAGATTTATTCTGATTTGGCTAACATGAAATAATGAGGCCTTATCTTTTTTTACATTCTAAAATAATTTTCAGTAAGAACTAGTAGCTCCTTAAAGGTTTATTAAGATAGAACTTGAACATAAAATCATCTGGTGCTTTTTGGGAAAGGAGAGGGATCTTCTAGTGTATTTACATTTTCCCACAGTTGTCTTCCTAGTTTTTTCTTTGGGAGATGGGCAATTTCCTTTCTGAGCTTTCAAATGTAATGGTACAAGTGGTATAAGTGTGTAGTTGCTCAGTTGTGTCTGACTCTTTGAGACTACATGGACTGTAATGCACCAGGCTCCTCAGTCCATTGAATTCTCCAGGTAAGAATACTGGAGTGGGTTGCCATTCCCTTCTCCAGGGGATCTTCCCGACCCAGGGATGGAACACGGGTCTCCCACGTTGCAGCAGATTCTTTACCAACTGAGACCAGGGAAGCCCCGTGGTGGTATACACAATATTAATTAAAATTTTCGAAATATGTTTTCCTAACCATAATTATACATCATTTCCAATGTTGTTTATTTGTGCCTCTTCCTCTTACCCCAATCACATTTGCCAATGATTTATTTCCCTCTTTTTCAAAATAAACTTTACCTTTTAAAGAGCAATTCCCCCCCACCAAAAAAAAAAAAAGAGCAATTTTAAGCTCAAAGTTGAAAGTACAGAGGTTTCCTATATAGCCCCTGCCACTATACACACACACAACCTCCCCCTCCAGCAACATCTCACGTAAGAGTGGTACATTTGATGCAATGAACCTACACTGACACATCACTGTCACTCACAGTTTACATTAGGTGTGAGGTCTGGTGTTGTACATTCAATGCACTTAGGTAAATACATTTAGGTAAATGTATGGTTGACATATCTTAACAGTTTCATAAAGAACACTTTCACTGCCCAAAAGACTCTTTTGGATCCCTCTGATCCAACCACTGATCTTTTCATTATTTACATAATTTTGCCTTTTCTAGAATGTCATACACTTGGGATCAAACAGTATGCAACTTTTTCAGACTCGTTTCTTCCACTTACCAATACTCATTTAAGGTTCCTTCATGTCTTTTCATGGCTTGATAGCTCTCTTCATTTTAGCAATGACATATTCCATTGTCTGGATGGGCCACAGTTCATTCATTCATTCATCGACTGCAGAACATCTTGGTTGCTTCCAAGTTTTAGCAATTATGAATATAGATGCTATGAATACCCATGTGCAGGTTTTGGTGGTCACAAGTTTTCAACTCATTTGGGTAACTACTAAGATGCGTGACTGGATTATACGGTAAGAAACTTCCAAATTGGAAGCAAAGTAGCTGGACCATTTTGCATTCCCAACAGCAATGAATGAAAATTCCTGCTGCTCCACATCCTCATCAGTACTTGGTGGTGTTTTCTGGATTTCGGCCAATCTAACCAAGGTGTGTAGTGGTAATTTCAACAATCCCATTTTAATGAGCAGTACCCTAATGATGATATGTGATATTAACTACCTCTTCATATGCTTACTTGACATCTGTATATCTTCTCTTTTAAGGTTGAGTATTAAGATTTTTGCCCACTTTAAAATTGGGTCTTTAGCCTACTACTGAGTTCCAAGAATTCTTTATGTATTTCAGGTAACAGGTGTTGCCAAGTATTTTCTCCCTAGGTCTTGTTTTCTCAGTCTCTTGATTATTTCCCTTCATCCATTTCAAAGATCAGTTTACTTCTGTTTCCTAGTTCACTAATGCTGTTTTTATCTTAAATAACTATTCTACTCTCTGAGTTTATTTTATACACTTTTCTAACTTCCTGTTTCAAAGGTTCAGTTTGTTTTCTACCTATTTATCTTTTCTTATAGATACTGACTATAAATTTCACTGTACCTCTTCAGCCACAGTCCACATCTGTCCTCCCATTATTTAGTTCTAACTATTTTAATAATTCCAAATTTGGATTCTGAGTTTTTTGCAAGTGTGAAAATAGAACCAACGTATCAATTTTTCTTGGAATGTATTATAGCCCAGAATGTGACCAATTTGAAAATAACATACTCTGAAGGATACACAAAATACCAATACATATTTTAAACTCTTAAGTTTATTTATTGACACCAGCCTAGAGAGACAGCACTCACAAAACAAGAATAAAGTTATTAAAATGAGTAAGTTGTATAATGTTAAACAACTCAAGATGGCTAAACAGCTGATGCAGTAAGAAAAGCAAGTTAGTGAATTAAAGGTAAACCTGAAGAACTTTCACAGACCTAAGTAGAGAGACAAGCACAGAAGAAGCATTTTTTAAAAAAGGTGGAAAAGAGATCCAGAAGTTTCAACATATAACCAACAGGAATTCTAGAAAGCAACAAGAGAATGGAAAAAAGGTAATATTAAACAAATAATAGCTAAGAATTTCCCAAACTAAAAACATGAGTCCTCAGACTTAAAGTGCACAATTAGCTGTATTTTCCGAACTTACTCCACAATTTCAAACTATTAAGAATTTCTCTTGAGGGAGGGGACACGTGTATGCCTACGTCCTATTCATGTTGATGTATGGCAGAGGCCATCACCATATTATAAAGCAATTATCTTCCAATTAAAAAAAAAAAAAGAATTTCTCTTAGAGCACTAAAGAATGTATTGTTCTGGAGCGAGGAAAAAAGTAAATCTGGAGAAAACAGTGGGATGCAAAAAAAAAAAAAAAAATTAGCCAAAAAACAAAAAAAGTTAAATATACTGAGAGTAAAAACGCTTAACATTAAATTAAAACTTCAAATATATCAACTTATCCAACTGAGAGAGGAAAAGGGGAGGACAGAGAAGAAAATTATGCTACAGTTTTTTTTCTTGTGTAGGACATGAATATAAATAGTATACTGTTATAAACCTAAGTATACATATACAAACTATAAGGGTGATCACTTAAAAAACTGAAATAAAATATATAACTCTGAAATTATTAGGGGGAAAAAAGGGAAAGGAAACTTGATCAAGCCAAATAACTCAACAGAAAACATAGTAAATATAAAGCACAAATCAAGGAAATCAATAACTAAATCTAAACTTATTAGTAATTACAAAATAAAGTATGGCAGTGCTACTATCAGACAACATAGTATATAATGTGAAACATTGTATGAGGCAAAAAGGTATTGCATACTGATTTAAATACACTAAAGATTTACAAGTACTCAATAATATACCTTCAGAATACACAAAACAAAAACTGGAATTACAAGGAGAAACTGAAATGTTCACACATACTAGAAGTTTCCAAAAGTTACCTATTTCAATCCATACTCATCACACTTAAGTACAGTATTTAGCTGAAGAATGCTTTCAACAGTGTCACCTCAGCAACGCTGCAAAGCAAATCTGAGAATGTCTTTGGAGAGACACACCGATAAGAAACAAAGTATAAGTAAGTACAGTTCAGCAGAGGGGTGTCAGATGTAAACAAGGAAAGCTGCCTTTTTCCTAACAGAGGTGTCATAAAGTAAGTTTGAAAACAAACTTGACCAAAATTAAAGGTAGCACTGATTTTCTTCAAAAAAGAAGGTCAGATCCATGCAAAAATGGGGGGGGGAAAAACCACCACACTAGTCAAAGAGCATTTTATTCTTCAAGCACCTGGGAAAGTTTTACAGTATGTGTCTAAGAACATAAGCTTTGGAGTCCAACAAATCTGAGCTAAGTACTAACTCCTTGTGTTACAAAACTCATACAAATATATCAAGCTCTAAGTCTTAGGGTCTAAATTATTAAGTGGGGATAATAATTTGTAGCTCCATAAAGCTATCACTAAGATAAAATGAAATAATGCCTGACACAGAGGGCTCAATAATTAACAATTATTGTTGTTACTATTATATTGTATTGCAGTGCAAGATGTGAGAAACTTCGTAATATTCTTGGTATTAATTAACATCTGTTTTGCAAAACATTTTTGATTTTAAAGTCACACGGGAAATACTTTCCATTTATTTCTCATAACACTTGGATTCTCAGGTTGTAACAAAAACCGTATGTAATTTTAAAATTAGAACTGCTAATTTTAAAATTAGACTGATAGAATAAATAACTGCTCTCATCCTATTACCAAGTGCTCCAAATTTCCAATCTAAGAAAGAGAAAAAGATAAAGGCTATTACGGTCATTCTCCAGTCCTAGTAATTTCTTGCCTTTAGAACCAGAAACATTTCCAGAGAGAAAATACCCAATTTGATTTAGTTCTGCACTGAAACCAGAGAACCACTCCAAACAGCTGTTTTAGTGGTAAGGATACCCTGAGCAACTTCTTTATATTTATTGAAGAAATGTCATTATTATGCTTACGGTAGATTTAAAAGTTTACAGGCAAGCAAGTTTTAGGTAATTAAAGGATGATCTTATTCATGTGTTTTAAGACTATATCAAGTCCTTAAAAAACAAAGAAAAAAACACCTCCTTTTAGTTCTCAGTACTCAAGAGGATGTATTATAGAAGATACTGAAGTAGAGTCCCCACACCTCACCTCCGAAGTAAAAGAAGCAACAAGCCTGAGTTACCTTAACACTAGGTTTATTGCAAAACTTACAGATGGGGAACATATCAAAGCAAACACTACTCACACACGGGTTTGTTCACTAAGTATATAAATCAATCCTTTACTGTGTCTCATAAACTCAGTGCAACAGGCTTTCCATAATTACTTCTAAGTATAAAACTCACAATATAGTTCCTTACCTTTCCATTAGCTTCTCTTTATCCCAATTGAAGTGGCTAAGGAGTATTCTTGTGATAGTTGCTGGATTCTAAAGAAGGGGGGAAAAAAAGTCATTTTAAGGTAATAGCACTTATTGACATTTAGTGAGTTTTTTTAGGTTGAACTTACTCTTCTATAACACCCCACCCAAATTACCTTTCCTAAGGTATTTCTTTATTCCCCTAAGAAAATACAAAATTTTAAGATCAAGACTATTTACAAATAGTTTGTCACACTAATATGTCATGTTTCTATGAGATTCTAAAGCAGAATTCACAATAAGCCAAGAAGAAATTAAATGAAAAACTACTGTATTAAATCAAGCACTAATAAAGTGAACTTTTTTGCACTTAGATTTAACAGACTGCCACATCAACACATTGTAAATCAATAAAATTTCTAATATTTCATGTACTGAATATGTTCTAATCAGTCGAAACCATTTTTAATTCAAAAGGCCCATACTTAATGAAAAAGACAAAGTACCTGCACTGTGAAATAATCTATAGAGTATCATCTGTAACCACTATTTCATTCCTCAAAGGAAACCAGAGTCCAAAGTTTACTGCCCCATCATCATCCAGTGATGTCACAGACCCTCCCGTTTCCCATGAAACTAGTGAACAGTATTATCTCAGTAAGATGATGGGGCCTAGGAGATGAAGGAAATCCAACTTATTCAAAGACACTAGAGCTAGTTACAATGTCAGAAGTGAAATTCAAACCTGAGTCTGCTTATCTGTACTTTATGCATGATTTTATTATATCAAGTAACATTTCAAAAATGGTCTCTGCACGTAAACCACTTTTATGTCACCAGAGTTAAGACCGCAATGTTCCGGCACAGTAAGTGTTTGGGCTTCCCTGGCAGCTCAGACAGCAGAGAATCCGCCTGCAGTGCAGGAGACCTGGGTTTGATCCCTGGGTCTGACAGACGCCCTGGAGAAGGGAATGGCAACCCACTTCAGTATTCTTGCCTGGAGAATTCCATGAACAGAGAAGCATGGCGAGCTGCAGTCCACGGGGTCGCAGAGAGTCAGACATGGCTGAATTAATAACACACATCTACTGATTTAGTTTAAAAGCAATCCTGTATAAAAATGTCATGAAAGAAATCCCTATCAATTATTCTTAGTAATACCATTTGTCACAAAAATTCACAGACATCCACACTGCTGCTGCTGTTTAGTTGCTAAGTTGTGTCCGACTCACCTTTGGCAAAAAAGCCAAAGATGCAGATATGGTTAAGTCCCAACCCTCTGCTCCAGGCACATTTTGCTAATCCATCTAGCTTTTCCTTACTTCTTAGACCCAGACTTCCTTAATAATCTTCCTTCAACACACCATTTGAGAAAAACACTATAAGAATAAGTGAAAAGAAACCTATTAGCTCACCCTAAATTATAATATTTGTATAGATTACAGATAGTATCATATATCCAGCTCTTTTACAGTAAGATTGTGGGCTTCCCTTGTGACTCGGCTGGTAAAGAATCCACCTGCAGTGCGGGAGACCTGGGTTCAATCCCTGGGTTGGGAAGATCCCCTGGAGAAGGGAATGGCTACCCACTCCAGTATTCTGGCCTGGAGAATTCCATGACTGTATAGTCCATGGCATCACAAAGAATCAGACAGGACTGAGCAAGTTCCACTTGCCTGTAACTGAAATAGTTATTCAGTCATATTTAAAATAAGGGCAATAATCCCATCAATTGGGGAAATTTCGTAGTACTCATTGAGATTTTGCAACTATAACTTTGGGGCATCCAACACACTATACATTCTCTGCCACTGGGGAAAATTTTTCAGGAATTGTTAAGTCTCAACTTGCAAACAGAAAAATGGGAGAGGTGGGGAAATGCCCTCTTTGACCTAATGCTGCTAACTGCCTTTTCTGTGTTTGAGATCCCACATCAAAAACTGGTCTCGTCCAGAGATTCCAAACCTGTTTTATTGATTCTTCAAAAATAACTAAGGAATGTTCTGTTAAAAAACTGATTCCTAGGTTCCACCCCCAAAATGTGCTTGTTGCCAAAGGGATTCACAACATTAGACCAGTAGTCCCCCAGGATGAAGAAAACATGACAATCTTTCTGGTTTGGGCTGTTCAAAAATTTCTGTGTAGGTGTAACGTGTTTGTTTAGTAATATACAGAGGGACCTCCCTGGCAGTCCAGTGGTTAAGACTTCACCTTCCAATGCTGGGGCCGCAAGTTCAATTCCTGGTTGGGGAGCGAAGATACCACAGGCCTCAGGGCCAAAAAACCGAAATACAGGGAATTCCCTGGCTGTACAGTGGTTAAGACTTCACTTTCCAATGCAGTGGATGCAGGTTCGATCCCTGGTCAGGGAGCTAAGATTCCACATGCCTCTTGGCCAAAAAACCAAAGCATAAAACAGAAGCAATACTGTAACAAATTCAATAAAGACTTAAAAAAATAATAATGTACATACTTTTACTGGAGGCACATGCCAGAAAATTTTTCCCAGAAGAATACTACTGGAAAATTTGGATAAACCACATCATAATGCCAAAATAGCTATATTCTGCCAGTGAGCTACACTTCGGGGCAGAGAATACTTCACAGTACTAGATAAATATATCTGCATCACTATCTCAGTGCAGCTGGATCAAGTCATTTATGTGCACTGAATAAAAGGAAAGGTGATGGAAAAATAATGTTTATTATACATCTACTGTATTTCGGACCCTGTTTAAGAACTTCCCAGTTGGTGCCAGTGGTAAAGAATCTGTCTACCAATGCAGGAGACATAAGAGATGTGGGTTCAATCCCTGGGTAGGGAAGAACACCCCTGGAGAGGAAATGGTAACCCATTCCAGTATTCTTGCCTAGAAAATCCCATGGACAAAGGAGCCTGGCAGGCTACAGTCCACAGGGTCGAAAACAGTCGGACATGACTTAAGAGACTGAGCACACATGCACAGCAAAGTATTTTACATACCTCATTTAATTCTCAAAACACACTGTAAGGTAAATATTCTTACTTCCTATTTTAAATATGAGAGAACTATGACTAGGCTCCAGGAGTATACAAAAACTACTCAATATCATACCTCTAATTAAGTGTAATAGTTGGAAATTCTAGCCCAGGACAATCTGGATCTAATATTCCTTCATTTATTCCATGTAGGTGAATCCAAAGGAATATTAAAGATCTTTCTTACATAGGTTTAAATATCTTTTATATCCTCCACAACAGGGTAATTCAAGGCAGGATGAGGAGGGGATGACAGAAAGCTAAAAGGCACAAGGGCATTTGAGGGACTGAAAAATGTGATGGTTGGTAACATGAGGGAAAATTTTTTATCAAAACTCAAACTATACACTTAAAAATGGGTACTTTTAGTCAAATAAAAGTTACACATCATGTTTATTTTTATTTAAAAATGGAACAATCTGATTTTTGGTCCTGGCATCTCCTTCCCACCAATTACAACTAAAAACTGCACAAAATACAACTAACAAGAGTCCTCTAACAATTAAATAACAGCAGGGAGATTGGGGAGAACAGGGAAGAACAACAAACAGATGGTAATGACCATCCTGTTTGTTTTATCACCTTTATTTCCTGGCTTGGACACAAGTGTGGGCCAAATAAGCATAACTGTGTAATAGGCATGATCGGCAAAAACTGAGACAAGGGCACCTTCTTGGTCAGAGGACTAGGGCAAATGCCCCTGGAAAAGTCAGAGAGAATCCTTTTCATCTTCCTTTACTTATTTCTCCCAGCCTTGGCCTGAGACCAGTTCCAGCCATGGAACTACACTACTGCAGAGCACAGAAAACTACCAGGGAAAACCCACTGCTCTGAACAGAGGAACAAGGAAGAACTCTGGTGAAAAGTGTGAGAGAACCCCTATTATTTTCTTTCTTTCTCTTGCCACTTCACCTCAAGGCATGATGGGCAGAAAACTAAAACTGAGAGAACTCCATACATTCAGATAGAGGAATAAAGAAAAGGGCCCCTGGGAGACAGAGGAAATCACTGTAAGGAGAGAGATGCAGAAGCAGATTCCTAATTCTATGATGAACCAAGTCCTGGGCTCACATGCAAGCAATCCATGTGTGGAACAGCCAAAGAAGAACAGGAGAAGCTTCTAGAACAGAACTATGAATAAATAGTTGCCCAAATCCTAGATCAACCTAGTGGGAATGGGAGGGGCAAAGTGAACACAGCAAAGATTTAGAAAACTGAACAGATAATGGAATCAACCTGTACATAAGGTGAGAAAGAACTCCAGGTAGAACCTAACTGGATTGACTTGTTTACTAAAACAAATAAAAGATCCTTACCATTTTTGAAAGGATTTTAAGAAGACACAGAATCTCACACAACATACTATACACTCAAGAGAGAACACAGAACTACCAGAAACAAAGTAAGAACAATAATAAAAATATGATCAACTATCAAGGGAGAGGACAATGACTTGAGTCTGACCCCAAGATGACCCAGATATTAGAATTATCAAAAACTTTTGAAACAGCTGTTAAAAACAGAACATTAGGTAAGGGTGAACCTTAAAATGAAAGAAAGAAATTCTTAGGACAGAAGCTCAAATTATTTAAAAAAAAAAAAAAAAAACGTAGAAGGACTAAATGGAAAATTTTAGGACTAAAAAGCTCTAAGATCACTGGATGGGCTCAAGAGCAGAGAGGAGATGACAAAGCAGTCAGTGAACTCAAAGATATGTCAATAGCAAGAATGAATGAGTGAGTGAGTGTGTGGGTGTGTATGAAGTCTTGGGGCCCTGTGGGATAATATCAAAAGCTACCAGCCTAAAATTCTATATTCAATGAAAGTATTATTCAGGACTGAAGCGAAGGATATTCTCAGACGGAGAAAACCAAGAGAACTCATTGCCAACAGACCTGCTCTAAAGGAACTGCTAAAGAAGTTCTCCAAATAGAAAGGGAATGGCAGCAGAGGGTAACCTAGAATTTCAGGAAAGAAGGAAGAGTAAACGAGTAAATATCACAGTCTATTTTTCTCCTCTTATATTTCGGAAAATATACAGAACTGCTGA